TTTGCACTGCTGTGACTGGGAAGCTGGCACCAGCCTTTTGTAAAAGTGTGACTTTACAATGGGGCCTACCTAGAGTGGGGAGAATTTCACACCTAATAGGGAAGAGAAGTCAGGGAGAACTTTGTGTTCCACTAAGATGAAGAAGCCAGAGATGGTGGAGGAGCCTCTTAGGGAATAGGAAAGCTGCTTTCAGTCATCTGAAGCCCTGTCTTATGGAAGAGGAGTAGCTTGTTCTCATGACTTCAAAGTGTCCTAAAATGACTAAATGGGTGAATACCACAGAAAGGCAGGTTTCAGCATCACATTGGGAAAAACTTGCAAAAAGGACCGAGCTCTCCAAGAATCAGAGGGGCTACTTGGTGTAGGAGCTCCCCATCTCCACGTGCTCAAGCAGAGGTGTGAGAATCTCAAGAGCATACTCTGCTGTCTGCTTAGCGCTCTGTGTTTGCTTATTTACTAGGGCACTGATTGGCACATGGTATGAATGAATGAATGAAAGAAGAATGAATATGGAGGTTGGCCATTTGGTGGGTCTAGTTGGGATTACACTCTTCGGCTGTCTTCCAGATCCACTTGAGGATACTGCCGTGCTAAATTAAATAATCTTTTCTGACTTCAAAAGGAAACGGATACCATCTCTCCTCTTATCTTTACAGTCACTGTCGCTGTTATCACATGCAAGTATCCAGAGGCTCTTGACCAAAGCAGAGGGGATCCCATTTATTTGGGAATCCGGAATCCAGAAATGTGTTTGTGTTGTGAGGAGGTTGGAGGACAGCCCACATTGCAGCTAAAAGTGAGTAACTAAGAAAATATTTAAAAAGCCTTTTCTTTTAGAAGTGTTTGGTTGAATACCTAATTTTAGTATTAAAAAAGAAATAGTCTCATTTTCCTAAGCGTATTTATTCCCAGCCTCTTTTAAGTTATGTGCATGCAATACACTTTTCTTTATATCCTGGCTGTCAGTAGTTGAGGTCCTCGTCTTGCCTTTTTTTTTTTCAAGCCAAACTGTATCTAGCTTTATTAAATATACTTTCCATAAACAATCATAGTATTTCAGGCAGGATATGGGCAGACAGTCGTTAACAGTATACAGCAACCTTCAAACTCCCGTCTTCAATGGACTACCAAAAATCAGAAAGCCACTATAAAACTCAATGAAGTCTTCACCTGATGCTCTGAACAGGGAACGTTTAAAGTGAGGGTTGACCTTTCACATTTAGCATGTTGTTTAACAACTTTTCACGAGCCAACCCTGACTTTCAGGAAGTGAAATGAAAATGGTTGCCTTTATCTGAAGATCCACAATCTAGAAACAGAACCACTGTTCTTTTGACAGGTGACATCTCAGCGGCATCACTGGAAAGTCCAGAGTGCCTGACACACTGGTAACCAATGATTGAGGGTCAGGTCCTAACAGATGTCTGGGCTTAAGGGAGTTAAATCTATGCTGAAAGATGGAAAGGGAGAAGAGGACATAAAAACGAATTTGTTTTCTATACCACAAGGCTTTTGTGCCAAGGTGGCCATGTGTGTCAAAGTCAGAGAATCCCTCCTCCTGGGAGCCAAGAGGAACTCTCAAAACTAGAAGGGAAAGGCGTCTTCCCCACATCGATCCAGCTTTGGAGACATTCTATTAGTGACATATACCCCTTTCCCCCCAAAACTACAATGAAGTGTTCTGTGTGCTAACAACATAGCTTAAAAAAAAGTAAAACAAAAAGCTGCATTTCTATAAAACTTGATAAAACATAGTATTTCAAACTGTACAGTCACCAGAAGTACACAGTTATCCAAAATGCACACACTACGCTTGGCATCTGCAGCAGCTTCAGCTTTCTGTGCCTGCCCTGTTTTGGCGTCTCCATTTTCTGCAGGGTTAGTCCCCTCCTTGCCAGCATCAGCTTTTCCCTTTTTCCCTTTGGGTACCTTCTCTCCCTTCTTTGCAGGGGCATTTTTAGGCTTGGGCTCTGGATTTGGAGGAGCAGGTTTAGCAGACAACTTTGCGGATCCTCTCTGTGGTTCATCCTTCACCTTGGCTTACCTCCTTTAGCATCTCCTTCAGCCTTTCTCTTGGGCATGGTGGCGGTGACCCTGAGGGGGTGTAGGCACTGGGTGCGGGATGCAGCGGTGTGCGGGTTTTGGTCAGTCTGGGGGCCGTTCTTGCCTTTTCTTCACACTGCTCCGTCTTTCTTAACCTTTGATATATTCTTGGCCATCATTTCTTCGAGTATATGCTCACCCTTATTTTCCTTTTGAAATTCCTATTCATCCATCATTGAAAGTTATGGATCTCACTTCAATATCTCACGATATCTCATCTAATTTTTTATACTTTCTATCCCTTCATTGCTTTTCAAAATTTTGGTGTTGCGTCTGGAAGAATTTCTTGCTTTGCTCTGCCAGCTCATGGTTACATTTTCAGTGTTGTCCCTTCTGGAAATCATCCTTCTATAGCCTTTCCTGAAATTTCAATCTTTACTGTTTCATTCCCAAGCTCTCTGGTTTGTTCTTCTTTTATTTTTTTTTAATGACTGTTTGTCCTTGTTCCACAAACTTCAGTTTAATTCAATTTGATTCAACTCAAGCCAATTCAATTAAGCACTTGAACAGGCACTTCCTGGCCTCCAGCACTGCGTAGATGCTTGAGATACAGCTGTGCACAGAATGCAAAGAACCCTGACCACATGGGGCTTGGATTCTAGTGAAAGGAGAGAAATGGCAAGCAATAAATGTAATAGTAGCTAAATTTGTGCTATGTTAGAGGTCTTTACCTCTCCTAGAAAAATAAAAATGGTTAAAGCAGGATAGATAGACCAGCAGTACCAGGAACACAGGCAGGGTCAGGATGCAGTGGTGAATAGTGCAATAGGCATCATTGCCTAGGTGAGATGTTAGCAGGGAGTAGAAAGAGCTAGAGAAGTTAGTCAGCAGCTGTCTAGTAAGGGCACGTTCCAGGACCAGTGGGGACAGTTGTGCAGCATGAACCGAGGAATGAGTCCAGAGAGACAAAGGCAGACATGAAAGGCTTGTCCTTTTCAAGGACTCAGCCTTGCAATCTGAGTGAAATGGGAACATTGCCTAGGTGAGATGTTAGCAGGGAGTAGAAAGAGCTAGAGAAGTTAGTCAGCAGCTGTCTAGTAAGGGCACGTTCCAGGACCAGTGGGGACAGTTGTGCAGGCATGAACCGAGGAATGAGTCCAGAGAGACAAAGGCAGACATGAAAGGCTTGTCCTTTTCAAGGACTCAGCCTTGCAATCTGAGTGAAATGGGAAATACCAGAATGTTTTGAACAGAGGAATGGTGTGAAGGGGCTTAGGTCTAAAAAGGATCTCTCTGGATGCTTGTTGATCTTAGACTGTGGCGGGAAAAGGTGAAAGTCCTTCAGGAGACTATGAGGTGATCTAGGTATGATTTGATGGGCCAGGACACAGCAGCAGAGGTGGGGAGAAGTGAGTCAGATTCTGGTAGTATTTTAAGTGGAGGAAACAGGACTGTGAGTGTGATCAATAAGGTCAGGACTGAGAAGGACATTTTCTACTTTGTCCTATCAGCTAAGTCACCCTTATGTTGTGCCTTTGTTCTCAGATGGGGACTAAGAATTGACCATTGCGTTTGGCAATGTGTAGGTCTTTGGGAACCTTGGCAGGGGCAGTGTTGGTGCTGTAGTGGGGGCAAAAGCCTGGATGGAATAAGTTTAAAGAGAGAAATTACAAGAAAGAAATCAGAGACAGCAGATATAGACAGCAATTGCAAGAAGTTTTCTGCAAAGGGGAACTGGCGGCGGTGGTGGGTAAGCAAAGTAGTTATTTTGTTTAAGATGGTAGAAATGGGCTGGGCGCGGTGGCTCAAGCCTGTAATCCCAGCACTTTGGGAGACCGAGACGGGCGGATCACGAGGTCAGGAGATCGAGACCATCCTGGCAAACACGGTGAAACCCCGTCTCTATTAAATACAAAAAAACTAGCCGGGCGAGGTGGCGGGCGCCTGTAGTCCCAGCTACTTGGGAGGCTGAGGCCGGAGAATGGCGTGAACCCGGGAGGCGGAGCTTGCAGTGAGCTGAGATCCGGCCACCGCACTCCAGCCTGGGTGACAGAGTGAGACTCCGTCTCAAAAAAAAAAAAAAAAAAAAAGATGGTAGAAATGACATCATATATGCTGACGGAAATGACTAAGAAGAGCAAGCAAAATTAATGGAGCACAAGAGAGCAGGGAGAATGGCTAGAGGGATGTCCTTAAGTTGCAAGTGCAGATGGGACCTTTCACCCAGTACTCCTAAAGCGGGGAGGTGCAGATGTGGGTGCCACGTGCCGGGAGCCCATGTTGTGGGGTGGTTTGTACAAGTCTTCTTCTAATTACTTCAGTTTTCTCAGTGAGTAGGAAGTTGAAGGTGATGATGGAGGAGGTATGAGAGTTTTGAAGGAGAAAGCATTCTTCCATTTATTAAACAGCAAATCTCTGTTGAGTAGAATGCTGGGGGCTTTCCTCTGTGTTGAGGAATACAGTGATGAACAAGTCTAACAATCATTCTGGGATTGATAAATAAATACGCTAAGTTTAGATAGCAGTTGGTGCTAGTGAAGAAAATAATGCAGGAATGTGATCGCAATGAGTGGGAGTGGGGGATTCCACACCAATTTTGGCTGGGATGGAATGTCCAGTGAAGCTCTCCCCAAGGAGGAGACCCAGGTATTGGGGAGAAGTCAGTCACGGGAAGATGAGGGGCTGGTGTGAGGTGCAGGGAGAGTAAGTGCCAGAACCCTGACTGGGAACAGCTTGGTGTCTTGGAAGGCAAAGAAGAAGACAGGTGTTGTGGGGGCAGAATGAGCATGCAGGAGAGTGGTAAGAGGGCAGGGCAGCAGGTAGGCAGGAGCTGGGTGGCGTAGACCCTATGGGCTTTGCTGAGGAGTTTCACTGTAATAACAATAGAAAATCATGCAAAAGGGTATGATAACCTTATTTATTCACTTCAGTTTAAAGTTCACTTACCTGCCTTGTGGAGAATGATTATTAGAGAAAGGAGTAGGTTCAAGGAGAACATTTAAAAGGTCACCCTAATTGTCCAGGTGAGAGAATGATGGCTGGGATTGGGGTTAACGTTGTATGTGGAGTGCAAGAAGTGACTCGATTCAGGAAATATTTTGGTATTTTGGAAATAGAGTCCACAGGCCTTGCTCCTGGGTTAGATGTTAGGGGGCGGGGAGGAAAAAAAAAGACATGTCAAGAATGACTCCTAGGTTTCTGGTCACTCAAAGAATCAGATTAACTGGAAGCCATTAATTGAGTAAATTAATGGCTCAATTTATGAGCCATTAACTGGGAGAATTACTATTCTCCCTATGGGAGAAGAACTTCCCACTCAGAGTGGAATGTAGCTGAATTACAGATCATTTCTGTGTCTCTCTTGAGATCTTGAACACATGCAATTTACTTAGAATACTTATTTTGCCTAAATATACAATGCACGTACATACAAATATACAGACATATAGAATATAGTTCCATATACAATATAGAAGGCATTTTCTGATTGCTCCATTTACTTTCTTCGTTTGATACAAATCCTTTGATTTGTTAGACCCTCTTGTGTCTTTATCACTGATATTTATCTTTCTCATGTATTTGGCAATTAGTCAGAAATTCATACCCTAACCTGACTGTCCTTTGTCATACCAGTGGTTCTTGCAGGGTAGTGACTCTCACTGTCGTGGTATTGGTAAGGGAGGTAATTTCCAGTTTCTTCCTTTTCCTAAGGGTCCCCTCAGCCTCTTATGTGAGAAGAGTTCTCACTTGCTGTTCAAGTGTGGCTGCTTGTTCATTAAACTCTCCCTTGTAAACTTCCTACACCATCTCTAGATTTGAGGGTGGGGGCCTGGAAGGTAAAATTTCATGTATGTTTACTCTGCTGCTCCTTCAAAATGTGTGTTTCTCCAGGCCGGCTCTAATAGATGGATACGGTTTTCTGGGACATTGGAACATCTATTGAATTATTATGAATAACCTTGAATATCTCAAACAGCTTTTGTTTCTCCTCATGGGTACTTGTTCTCACATTTCAGGAGCAGAAGATCATGGATTTGTATGGCCAGCCTGAGCCTGTGAAACCCTTCCTTTTCTACCGTGTCAAGACCGGTAGGACCTCCACCCTTGAGTCTGTGGCCTTCCCAAACTGGTTCATTGCCTCTTCCACGAGAGACCAGCCCATCATCCTGACTTCAGAACTTGGGAAGTCATACAACACTGCCTTTGAATTAAATATAAAATAACTGAACTCAGCCTAGAGGTGGCAAGCTCGTCTTTGTCTTCAAGTTTCCGGTTCCCAGTGTGTTTTCGTCTACATTTTCTTAGTGTCATTTTCACACTGGTGCTGAGATGGGAGCAAGGCTGCTGTTATCATCTCATTTTAAAATGAAGAAGAATCAATTACTTCATAGCAACTGAAGAATAGGATGTGGGCTCAGAAGCAGGAGAGCTGCGTGGTGTAAGGCTCTCCTCTCAAGCTGATGCTGTGTAGGCCACAAGACAACTGCATGAGTGACTTTGAGACTCAAAGACCAAACGCTGAGCTTTCTCCTAGGGGTGGGTAGGAAGATGCTTCAGAACTCCTGTGTCTTACCCACGATGGCATGACTAGCATGGAGCTGATCTCTGTTTCTGTTTTGCTTTATTTCCTTTTGGGATGATATCATCCATAATCTTTATATGTTGCCAGTATACCTCATTGTGTGTCATAGAACCTTTTTAGCATTAAGACCTTGTAAACAAAAATAATTCTTGTGTTAAATCATTTTTGTCCTAATTGTAATGTGTGATCTCAAAGTTAAATAAATTTTGTATATTTACATAATAATAAAGCTAAAACTGATATAAAATAAAGAGTAAACTGAAATTAGCAAGAGTAGTTGAATAAAGCCATCGCAGTGGGTAAGCCTGGGACTGGGGCTTAGCTGGGGACAAACGGGCCTTCGTTGCTGGATAGTGATGATGATGGGGGTGAGAAATTCAGTATGTAACAGGGCTCCGCTGTTTGGCTCCTTTCTTTATGGTCGAATAGCTTTGGTTTTCCCTGCTTCCTCTAGTCTTTTCCTTTTAGAGCACCTCACCATTCACATACGTTTTTCAAAAACTTCAGTAAAGGTGTCTTTTTTTTTTCTTCTTGGAAGAGAAAGCCTTGCTTTCCCAACAGCCACCTTTAGAAGATATATTCTGACAAAATTAAATAACTGACTGATATAGTTTGTATGTTTGTCCTCGTCTAAATCTCATGTTGAAATGTAATCCCCAGTGTTGGAGGTGGAGCCTGGTGGGAGGTGTTTGGGTCACGGGGGTGGATCACTTGTGGCTTGATGCTTTCCTCACCATAGTTAGTGGGTTCTCACAAGATCTGGTTGTTTAAAAGTGTGTGGTACCTCCACCCTCACTCTCTGTGTTGCTCCCGCTTTTGCCATGTGACATACCTGCTCCCTCTTCACCCTCTGCCGTGATTGGAAGCTTCCTGAGGCCTTCCTAGAAGCCAAGCAGATACCAATTCCAAGCTTCGTGTAAAGCCCGCAGAACAGAACTGTGAGCTAATTAAAACTCTTTTCTTAATAAATTACCCAGTCATGGATATTTCTTTATAGCAATGTAAGAACAACCTAACACACTGACTGTGGGTATACTTGTAGAAATACATACCTCAGATCTGATTCTGTATATAATAGATTTCTTTATTTTTACTCTAACACTGAAAATGCAGAGCATTCTGTTTGCTTAAGTACATTCTTCAAAATCGCATAGCAACTTATTTATTTTTCTACTTTTGGACAGTCAGACTGCATCCACTACTAACAATTACAGTAAGCAATCGGCAAGCATGGATTTAATGTGATATCTCTTTATTCTTTAACTTTTTCTTTTTGGGGGGTTAATTATTTTTAATTAAAAATTTAAAAATAATTTTTAAAGCTCAATTTTTATGTATCTTTTTAAATGTAAATTTTAAACATACATGGATAACAGTGTATGTTTTTATTGGGTACCACATGATGTTTTGAAGTACATATACATTTGTGGAATGGTTAAATCTAGCTAATTAACAAATGTATTACCTCACATGGTTATCCTTCTTTGTGGTGAGAGCACATAACATCCACTCTCTACATTTTTTGAGAGAATATATCACCATTTACTATAGCCTCCTTGCTGTGCAATAGGTCTCTTGAAATGTATTTCTCCTACATAATTGTAATTATGTAGCCCTTGGCTAATATCCCTCCGTCCCTCCTCCTGCCTAACTATACCAGCCTCTAGTAACTACCATCCTACTCTCTACCTCTATGAGATCAACCGTTTTTTAAAATTTCACATATGAGTGAGATCATGTGGTATTTGTCTTTCTGTGCCTAGCTTGTTTCATTTAGCATAATGTTCTCCAGGTTCATCCATGTCGTCACAAATGGTGGGATTTCAATCCCCTCTTGTGGCTAAATAGTATTCCATTATGTGTATGTACCACATTTTCTTTATCTTTTATCTACTCATCTGTTGATGGACACTTAGGTGAACTCAATATCTTGGCTATTGTGAATGGTCCTACAAAAAACATGGGAGTGCAGATATCTCTTTGACATAAGGATTTGAATTCCTTTGCATAGTGTGATTGCTGGATCATATAGTAGTTCTATTTTTAATTTTCTGAGCTTCTATAATGTTTTTCAGAGTGGCTGCACTAATTTAAAATGCTCCCCAAGGGTATATAAGAGCTCCCTTTTCTCTACATCCTTGACAGCACTTATCTTTAGTCTTTTTGATAATGGCCATTCTAACTAGGGGGAAGTGATATGCCACTGAGATTTTGATTTGCACTTCTTTGATTAGGAATATTGAGCATTTTTCATATACATATTGGTCATTTGTGTGTCTTTTTCTGTGAAATGTCTATTCAGGTATTTTGACTATTTTTCAAACAGGTTATTTATTATTATTATTACAACTGAGTTGTTTAAGTTCGCTATGTATTTTTGATATTTACCCCTTGCCAGATGTATGGTTTGCAAATAGTTTCTCCCATTCTGTAAGTTATCTCTTCACTCTGTTGATTGTTTCCTTTTCTGTACAGAAGCTCTCTCATTTGATATAATCACACTTGTTTATTTCTGATTTTGTTTTTGGCCTGTGATTTTGAGGTCTTATCCAAAAAATCCTTGCCCAGACAATGTTTCTTCTATGTTTTCTTCTAGTAGTTTGATAGTTTCAAGTCTTACGTTTAAGTATTTAATCCATTTTAAGTTAATTTTTGTATTTGGCAAGAGGTAAGAGTCTAATTTCATTCTTCTGCATGTGGACATCCAATTTTTCCAACATCATTTATTTATTATTTTTTGATAATAATAATGACAATTATAGCATTTACTATAATGACTTTTAATACTCTAAGGTGCATGTGTGTGTGTGTGTCTTAATATTTTACAAATTGTCACAAAGGCACTCTAACCCCATAGAAGATGCAGTATTTTTTAGTGTAAAGCAATTATTATAGTCTTGACAAAAATCATTTAAAATTCTGTCACAAAGCAAATTAATTTTCTATTTCATGAATTAAAAATTACAAGAGACTTACAAAAAACTTTATTTGTTTTAAATCATGTTTCCCTTCTTTTTTGGGGACAAAACAATATCTACTTTGATTAGGTAAATCTTCCTCAGACTTTGATGTTATATTATACCATATGTCATAATCTTGCCCACTACATTTAGAGATCCTTTCTTTAATTAAGTGTGTAATAATGCCCATACCTTTATTAACTCTGTTTAGCAGCATTAGTTATGATGATGCTAAAGTTTTTCATATTTCATTTTTTCTGAATGTCATTTCATCAAACCATTAAGACTTATGGTTAAAATATAATAAATATATAATAGAGGCATATATTTATTTAACACAAAGCTTGTTGTTAATATCATGTTCACAATGGTGGGAGCCATGACTAATTCATCAGTGTCCCCAGTGCCTTGGCAGTAGGTCTTCACCATTAAATCTCATGTCATAGAATTACTTGATCACTTGCTTTAAAAAGTGTCATTTGCTTAATAATTTGCTTAGAGTAGTGTTTGCTATTAGTGTATAAAAATGCTACTGCTTTTTGAGCAAAGACTTGGGACCAACCCAAATGCCCATAATGATAGACTAGATAAAGAAAATGTGGCACATATACACCATGGAATACTATGCAGCCATAAAAAGAATCAGTTCATGTCCTTTGCAGGGACATGGATGAAGCTGGAAACCATCATTCTCACAAACTAACACAGAACAGAGAAGCAAACAGCGCATGTTCTCACTCATAAGTGGGAGCTGAACAATGAGAACACATGGAAATAGGGAGGGGAATATCACACACTGGAGCCTGTCAGGGGACGGGGGGTAAAGGGAGGGAGAGCACTAGGACAAATACCTAATGTGGGGCTTAAAACTAGATGATGGGTTGACAGGTGTGGCAAACCACCATGGCACATGTGTGTAACAAACTTGCACGTTCTGCACGTGTATCCCAGAACTTAAAGTTGAAAAAAAAATGCTACTGTTTTTTGAATGTTCATTTTGTAACCTTTAACTTTATTGAATTAGTTTATTAGATCCAACAGCTTTTTGTTCATGTTTAAGATTTTTAATATATAAGAGCGTGTCAAAAGCAAACATGGACAATTTAACTTTCTCCTTTCCAATTTGGATGCCCTTTATTTCTTTCTTTTGCCTGACTTGCTCTGGCTAGGCCTTCCAGTACTATGTTGAATAGAAGTGGTGAAAGTGGGCATTCTTTTTTTCTTCCAAATCTTAGAATAAAAGCTTCAAACTTTTCCCCATTCAGTATGATGTTAGCTGTGGGTTTGTTGTACATGGCCTTTATTATGTTCAGATACATTCCTTCTATACCTAATCCATTGAGAGTTTTTATCATGAAGAGATGTTGAATTTTGTCAAATGTTTTTTTCTGCATCTTTTGAAATGATTATATGTTTTCCATTCATTTTGTTAACATGGTACATTAGATTTATTGATTTGTGTGTATTGAACCATCCTTGCATTCCTGGGATGATTGGCTATTGTGAATAACCTTTTTAATGTGCTGTTGAGTTTGGTTTGCTAGTAGTTTGTTAAGGAATTTTGCATCTATGTTCATTAGGGATATTGGTCTGTAGTTTTCTTTTTTGGTTGTGTTCATGTCTGGTTTTGGCATTGGGATGATGCTGGCCTTATGGAATGAGTTTGGAAGAATTCCATTCTCTTCAACTTTGTGAAATAGTTTGAAAAGGCTTGGTGCTAGTTCTTCACTAAATGTTTGATAGAATTAAGGAATGAAGCCATCAGGCCCTGAGATTGTCTTTGATGGGAGACTTTTAAACTACTGATTCAATCTCCTTTCCTATTCGTCTGTTCAGGCTTCTTATTTCTTCATATTTCAATAGTGGTAGGTTTTAAGTGTCCAAGAATTTATTTCTTCAAGGTTTTCCAATTTGTCGGCATATAATTGTTCATAATAGTCTCTATGATTCTTTGTATTTCAGTGGTATCAGCTGTAACATCTCCCTTTTCATCTCTGATTTTATTTATTTGAATATTCTCTTTTTTTCTTAGTCTAGCTTACAGTTTGTTTATTTTATTTATCTTTTTTTAAAAATCAGCTCTTCATTTTATTGATCTTTTTTTAGTCTCTATTTTGTTGATTTATGCTCTGATTTTCATTATTTTTTTCTTCTACTAATTTTAGGTTTAGTTTGTTCTTGTTTTTCTATTTCGTTGAGATGCAACATTATGTTGTTTATTTGAGATCTTTCTTTTTAAATGTAGGCGTTTATCACTATAAACATTCCTCTTAGGACTGCTAATGCTGTAT